AAAAAAAAAAAAAAAAAAAAAAAAAAAGGAACTCCCGAAGAACGCGACTTGTGAGCGATGCTCCTAAGCTAAACTGGCTGAGGCTGCCAAGGATAACTCGGGGTAGAATTGTGAGGTCCCTCGCCTCGTACCATTGGAAGGAAGAGGTCCCATGACTAGCCTGTGGATATAAGAGTGTTATATGTCTTGTTCGTTGGGGACCAGGGTGGGTGAATTCATACTACCGAGTTCACAAAATTATTTGGATATTAGGTTATTATTTTCCTACTCGTTCGAGTAAATACCACAGGATGGGCATGGACGGCATACTGGGTAATACTAGTAGCGGTGTTGCTGAAACAGTGAGAGTGTGAGAGGCGACAGTGGGAACGCTCCTGGTCAGATAGTAGTAGGGGAGACAAGGGGGAGCATACTTGAGGTGTACCCATTGAGGTCGTTATACCCATTGAGATCCAAGGGTGCGTGGTGGGAAACCCGTCATGGCAACTCAGGCTCTTCGGGGTTAGTGTTTAGTGAGGCGGAAGATTTGCCTGTTCGTCCGGGCTTAGTGATTGGAATCATACGACCAGAAATTGAGATCTGTATGCATCTTGTTGTAATCCTGGGTTGGCTTATAATTCGTTTGTTAATTTCGTTAATTTTCTTACGCCTTTTATAGGTTAGATTAGTTGTTCACAAGTGTATTGCTCATTGCCTCCTCTAATGTTTCGAATTGTAGAACCACGCTGGCGAGTTGGCTCTGACAGGTTTTCTTTGAACTTTAGCACCAAGTAGGACRGTGCCCTGTTCGGTATGGAATTACTTGAGCTTCAAGAGATTATGGAAGATGAGAGTAGACTAGTGAAAGGAAGGCATGCTGGACCCGGTTTTCAGCATGGTTTCATATTTTCCGGGTTGTTTGTGAGGAATTCCCGGCCTCCTTTCATTTGTAATAAAAGTTAATGATTCTTCCAAAAAAAAAAAAAAAAAAAAAAACTGGAGGAGGAGGAATCTACGTACGGAAATCCAATGTCCGTGAACTCGAGACAACAGATGAACAAAAACCACCGAAATGAATCGGAGGGGTCTAGAATTATGCGTGTCATCCTTACTTGCGCAGGGGCCATGGTGATCGTCAGTCTCTGTATCGTTCCAAGTTTAACAGATGTCCCGAAGGAGTGAAGGAGGAATCTAGTAGCTATACGGAGGAAAGGAGCTTTTGCAATTCGGGATCTTGCGCGCCTTATATCCGATTCGGCACTCCCGAAGAATACTAGCTACGCAGCCAGCAGCCAGATAGGATCCGAGTTCCAACAGAAATAAAAGGAAAGAAACTACCTAGCCAAGTACTGTACTGGGGTCTGTCTATAGTCGACTCCCCGTTTTTTTGTCTCCGACACTCCAGCCCTCAACCACAGGCGCATTCCCAATATTGCCCCTGTTGTAACTTTCGTCAGACGATTGTCCACTGCCCAGGTGTTAGAAAACCACAGTAAGTTTTTTTTTTTAATTATTATTTTAAAAATAATATTTTTTTAATTATTATTATTTTTATTATTATTTTTCTTTAATTATTATTATTATTATTATTAATTATTATTTTTAACCCACAGTAAGTTCAGTAGCCCTTTTTTTGGCCAGTCTGCTCTGATTAGCCGCCTTATATCTTTTGTTTGACCGTATTTTTTCTGAGCCTGATCTGCTGACCGATGTTCTCCTCCTCTGAATAGCGAATCAGTGCACTCTTTTCCCCCCATTCCCACCTCAAACAAAAAAGAAAAAAGAAAAAAAAAAAGAATAACAAAAAACGAGAAAAACAAAAAC